TGCACGCCGGTTACTCGGAGAGTTAAAAACAGAAGTCCCATGGCAAAACTTAATATAAAAAACTCTCTCAAATCGCATGATTAGAGAGGGAAAAGCTTGTTACTAGAACCATAAAAATTTTAAAAGAAAGAGAGATAAATAATAACTAAATTATGAAAAGAAGGAGAGTGACTGTAACAAGCTGCTGCACGCTCGCACATGCACATTCATAATGTATGTTATGGGGCGTAACATTTCCGACACACGCTTGAGGTATTCAGCCATTCACAACGCACTGGATAGCTGGCCAATTAGAGCACACCTCACTTTCTTAGAACGATGAGCTTTGTAAAAATCGACGCATTTCAGAAAGGTGGGACATAGAGGAGAAACAATAATGTACATTATATGGAAAATAATGTGGGTTTTTTTACCTTAAACCTCATAAACACATTGCATTACACCAAATACACAAAATAATGTTCTTTTTAGCTTTTAGTTCTAACGTCATATGACCCCTTTAATTAAATTAATTAGTTATGAATGAAATAATGTGTTAAAATAGTAACACATTTAACATGCTCGCCCTGCCCCAGACCTACATAGCTTATATTTCATAAATCATACAACTGATTGGTGACGAACATGAAACAGGGCAACAACAACTTTCTGCGTGATGAAGCCTATAGAAGGCAGTTATATGCCCCTAAAATTCAAGATATTGGGGCATAAATGTCCTTGCATGAGTTTTTGTCTCGTATTTATATCATATTACATAAGCAATATCACACGAGCAACGAGTGCAATATCACACAAGCACTGTTTTTGTCCCGAATAGCACAAGTGCAAATGTGATATTGATATTGAACAGTTCAATAAATAAGAAGTTAATTTATTTTTGACACACTATTGTCTGTCTTTGCTCAATTTGTCTGATGAAAATATTATCTACTATCCCTTTAATAACCATTTAAAACCCATTAATCTCACTGCATTATTTATGCAATTTAAATTGCAGTGTAAATGCATTCATGCCTCCTCTGAGCTGCAGTAAACAGTCTGTAAATACCAATTCAGATGCAGCAGCTAAAAAAAAAAAAAAAGAGTTGGAGCCTAAAAGTTTGTGTAATAAATTTTATGTTGTCAAATAAAATATTTCTTTCTAAAGCTACCTTTTGCAATGTTTATTTAATGAAAACACAGCTGTTGACCAATCAGAATCAAGGACGGGAACTGTTTTATAATGTCATATCATGTCATATATCATATCCCTGGTTTGAGACCTTGGGGTTCATATTGACGACATATTGGACAAACAACACTTTATCTTTTTAAAATCTCAGTTTTTAATGTGTGTAGCTGCACATGTTCTTTCAGTCTGTTGACGGGACTGCCTTGTTCTACACGGTAGTGAGCTGGGGCTCTGGGTGTAACACTGGAGATGAACAAGCTCATCAAGAAAGCAGACTTTTTCATTGGAGAGGAACGGAAGCATCTGGAGGTTGTAGAGGAGAGGAGAATGATGTCCAAGCTGCTGGACAACGTCATGGATAGCACTCTCCACCCCCTCCATGACATGCCTGTAGGAATGAACAGCATGTTCTGAAGTAGGCTGATTCAGCTGTGCAACAGAAAGCACTACAGAAAGCCAATCATGCCTACTGCCATAAGACATAATTCATCAACCATGTGCAGAGGCACCATTGACCTTTAGTGAATTAGGACCCTGCTCTCAGTTGTTCTTGGGCACAACATGAAAAATAATGCAATGTCCTTGCAAAGCCTAAGTGAGCTCCCATAGAACAACCTAGCATCACCTTTGTGACCTCCCAGAACACAGCACACTAGCAATGCCTTTGTAACCACCCAGAATATCATGACAACCACCTAGCAACAACACCCTAGCAACTCCCCTATCAGCCACTCAGAGCACCATAGCAACCAACTAGCAACATCTTTACAAAGCCTGTTGCAGCGTCCCAATTCACATATGCATAAATATTATTCGAAAATAGAATTAGTATGGCCCAAATGGTAGTATAGGGCCTTTCGCACCGCTTTAGTTCCAGAACTAAATGTACAGTACTAAAGTACTGGGACGATTTTGCGCAAACTATTTCCCAGTACCATTTAAACGGTTGCATTCGCACCGACAGTGTGTACTAGGAAGTGACGTAAGCCGGTCGACAGCGACGTCATTTGTGCGCTGCGTTCAACAACGGAAACAAAGAAGAACAACGTTAACAGCAGGAGGATGGAGGACGCTGTGATCGGAGCTGTGTGTTTGTTGTATCTCGCGGGTTTCACAATAATGGACATGGAATGTCGACGTATTCGTAAAGCGATTGAAAGAACGGAAAGGAGGACTAAGAATCTCCAACGACAACTGGCAGTGCTACATTTGCTACAAGTGCCTGCACTTCAGCGTCCGTCCATCTATCACTGTTCTCCATACTTGCAAAATAAGTTGACACAATATTTACAGTATGTTTACACAGCGTTTTAAATCATGGTGGGTGAGGGCGTTTTCGTACGCGTTTGGCCAATCAGTGTCTACTTACGTCAAGGGTAGTACCAGTTGTGCTGGTTAGACCCTGCTCCGGAGTAGGAGCTAATTTGGTTCTCGAAAAAGGCAGTCCGGTACTAAAATCGCACCCAGTTCCGGCGGTGCGAAAATGCCAAAAAGTGGGTAGTTCCACAATTAGTTCTGGTACTATGAAAAGGTTCCCGCGGTGAGAAAGGCCCTTTTGTTGAAATGAGTATGCCAGAGTTTCCCAGATGGTCTATTACTACGGGTTAGAATTTGAAGTGCAGATCGATGTACACTCCTAATGGCTAATATTGTCCACTACACTTTGTGCAAGGATTTATTTAGATTAGAACTATAAACACGCATAAAATGTGTTTAAAAAAAACTACAAACATGTTGGATATGCGAGACCGACGGACAGGTAGAGAAAGGGGTTTGAGTGATAAATAATCAATGTATAACCAGGATGAAAAAATATTATTTAATATTATCCACATTATATTTCATCTGCAGCAACATTGTGAACTTTTAGTAAGATACGTTTAGTCATTAACTTTAAAATGCATCATCATTATGCAAACACATGAGCAGAGTTCTCGGCACGAAAGTCCCGTGATTGGCAGATCAACGTGCCACTTCATTTCTCTCCAATACGGTAGGAAATCAAATTACACAAAATGTAGATTGTTAATGTGACAAGACGATTGACAGGGTGGTTTAAATGGTGACAGAATGCACTTAACTAAGCAACACAGTTGTCCGTTAAAGACAGTTATGACAAAGTAGTATGTCCCAAAGTTTGCATACTATTCTGCTACATACTCAAAAGTATGTACTTTTTCTTCACAAAGAAATATATAGTATAAGTAGGCTAATTGGGACGCAGCATGAGTGAACACCCCACAGAACACTCTAACATCACCTAGGCAACCTCCCAGAATACCCTAGCAGCACACTAGCAATGCTTTAGTAACCACCCACAACACCATAGCAACCACCTAGCAACATCCTAACATCACCTTAGCAACCACCCAGAACACCTTAGGAGCACACTAGCAATGCCTTGGTAACCACACAGAACACCTTACAGCAACTACCTTACAGCATTGTAGTTATTTCCTAGTAACCACTCACAGTATTGTAACGGTTACCTAGTAACAACACCCTAGCAACACTCCTAACAACCACCTAAGACACCCCAGCAACCACCCAGAGCACTGTGCCAACCACCTAGCAGCTCCCCTAGAAACCGCCTAGCAATATCTTAAATGCGTGCCTTCTGTATCTGTGTATGAAAAAATCCTTCTCTGCTCGTTGATGGCCATATTTCTCTTGGCTCTGACAACGTCGGTGTGTTTCATCGCCTGCAAACAAAAAGCCATTTTCTTATTTCTTTATTGCTCAGATTCACAGTGTTCATGTTCTTGCTGAGTTTCCTCATTTTAATAGTCTGTGGAGTGAACTGTAGCAGTGTGCTCTGGAGTTCTCATTAAATGAATACTGATGAATGAAGTTTTATCCCACTGATCATTACTGCTCTTCTGAAGTGTCAGTGGGAATGTTCTCATAAGCCTGCTGCAAAAATGTAAACTCGCACCAAAAATGTGCTCTTAATAGTGAGCTTGTTAAAATTTCTCAGCTTTTGGTGTTAATGCTACATGTTCCTTCTAACTTTAATTCAAGCTGTGAACTTCACAGGAGTTAATGTAGTTTAATGAAGACTGTTATCTCATGAAATACCTTGCGTCTGTGCTTGACTGATTGCAGATACAGAATGCCGATGATGTTCTGATCACACCCTTGGAGAAATTCCGGAAAGAGCAGATCGGAGCAGCCAAGGTAAGTCATCCTATATCACTTTAGACAATAACCAAAATTACCCTGGTATTTGGAGGCTAAACAAGGCTAAAATATGCTACTGACTTGTTTATGCTCGTGTGTGTGTGTGTTTGGAAATGTGTTTGCATTTAGACTGTACAGATCTTGTTTGGAATATATTCTGCTAAAGTCTGCTGCTGGGTTATTTAATATATAGTATAAGTAGGCTAATTGGGACGCAGCATGAGTGAACACCCCACAGAACACTCTAACATCACCTAGGCAACCTCCCAGAATACCCTAGCAGCACACTAGCAATGCTTTAGTAACCACCCACAACACCATAGCAACCACCTAGCAACATCCTAACATCACCTTAGCAACCACCCAGAACACCTTAGGAGCACACTAGCAATGCCTTGGTAACCACACAGAACACCTTACAGCAACTACCTTACAGCATTGTAGTTATTTCCTAGTAACCACTCACAGTATTGTAACAGTTACCTAGTAACAACACCCTAGCAACACTCCTAACAACCACCTAAGACACCCCAGCAACCACCCAGAGCACTGTGCCAACCACCTAGCAGCTCCCCTAGAAACCGCCTAGCAATATCTTAAATGCGTGCCTTCTGTATCTGTGTATGAAAAAATCCTTCTCTGCTCGTTGATGGCCATATTTCTCTTGGCTCTGACAACGTCGGTGTGTTTCATCGCCTGCAAACAAAAAGCCATTTTCTTATTTCTTTATTGCTCAGATTCACAGTGTTCATGTTCTTGCTGAGTTTCCTCATTTTAATAGTCTGTGGAGTGAACTGTAGCAGTGTGCTCTGGAGTTCTCATTAAATGAATACTGATGAATGAAGTTTTATCCCACTGATCATTACTGCTCTTCTGAAGTGTCAGTGGGAATGTTCTCATAAGCCTGCTGCAAAAATGTAAACTCGCACCAAAAATTTGCTCTTAATAGTGAGCTTGTTAAAATTTCTCAGCTTTTGGTGTTAATGCTACATGTTCCTTCTAACTTTAATTCAAGCTGTGAACTTCACAGGAGTTAATGTAGTTTAATGAAGACTGTTATCTCATGAAATACCTTGCGTCTGTGCTTGACTGATTGCAGATACAGAATGCCGATGATGTTCTGATCACACCCTTGGAGAAATTCCGGAAAGAGCAGATCGGAGCAGCCAAGGTAAGTCATCCTATATCACTTTAGACAATAACCAAAATTACCCTGGTATTTGGAGGCTAAACAAGGCTAAAATATGCTACTGACTTGTTTATGCTCGTGTGTGTGTGTATTTGGAAATGTGTTTGCATTTAGACTGTACAGATCTTGTTTGGAATATATTCTGCTAAAGTCTGCTGCTGGGTTATTTATAATTGAAATTATTCCTTATAAGGTTTTTGCTGTTAGCATGTTTTGATGGATATATTAAATACCTGAAGATAGTAATGTTTTATGAATGTTTAGCCATTACAAATGTGCCTTCGTACTTAAAAAATACCTAAAAGTGCCAACGGTATTACCATGTTTGACCTGCCATGTATTATCCAAAGTAGCTTGGAATACCAAGTAAATAGTATATTAATATAATTCAGTATCTATGTGTACATCAAAGTACTGTGTTACTATTTTGTTATTTATGATTTAAATGATTCCTTATATGGTTTTTGCTGTATTATTTGATGCATATATTAAATTAAATACCTGAAGATTGTAATATTTAATGAATGTTCAGCTATTGCAAGCCTTCATACCACTAAAAAAGAAGCACCTTAGTACTACCATATAATTTGAGTAGTATCAGATATGAAAATGGCAATCATGCATTTCTAAGGTAGTGTATATATTGAGAGCCATGGTAATACCATCATTGTACCATGGTACGGTCACTGTACTTCTTGTTTATCTGTAGCAGTGGTTATAACAGTATATTACATTTGACAGGAATGAAATTACAGTGTTTTCAATGTGTTGTATTGTCTAGGCCATCAGCTCACTTCTAATTTTCACTGACCTGAGTTTTTTGTCTATTGGAAATTAGTCAAATATTTCATTGTTTATATTACATATTTATATTAGGTGCACACCTTCCTTTAAAATCAAAAATTAACCCTATTTACTTTCTTGATGCAAATTCCTGGTCATAATAAGGTACATGATTCACTGGCACACAAGGGTTTTTCTTTTAAAATGTTGTTTTTGTAATCTTTTCAGGATTAGGAAAGTTGCCAAGCCCTCTTATTTTTCACCCCTCCTCTCCAACCGCCTGTCATTAAGACCAATTTCATAATCAAAATCAACTGTAATGGATAAAACATGTTTTTCTAATTGAAAGTCTAGTTTTATGCAATGTCATTACAGAAGTAAAATTGTAACGGGGCTGACAAGACATGAGACGTGCGGATCCATATGCAAGCTCTTTATTAGGAGAAGACAGAGACGTGGTCATAAAACAGGCATGGGTCAGATAATGGCAGACAGGTATATGGCGGGCAAAACACAAGAATGGTCCTAGGGCTAGCGTAGGTCGACGATCGGCAGACAGAATCACAGCGGCGAGACTAGAGGGATAAATCCAGGGAGACAGGCAAAGATCAGAACCGAGAAAACTGACAAGGCAAGGCAAAACAAGGAAACACGGGAAGGATAACAGGAACTAGGAAAACTTACTGGCGAAGTAATAATCGGCAGTGAATGGTAGTTTGAGTGAGTGATATATAGTGAGTGAGTGATGTGAAACAGCTGTGTGCAATCCCTGCTGAGTGCAATCAGTGCAATGAATGATGGGATATGTAGTCCAGGGTGCTATGCAACAGTTTGTGTTGTGCGAGAGTCAATGTAATGGAAAGTGTGAC